GTAGCAAGAAAAAGAAAAATAAATAAGAAAAAACGTTCCAAGACCATAGACTTGGCTTATACACATCTTCTGCTTCTATACCAGAGTGCAATTTTCTAGTTTTCGTAAACTCTTTTCTTCGAAAGTAAGTGCGCGATGAATTCATTACTTTTATTACCGCGTATTTATTGGCTGAGAGATATTTTAACTTTTCTATTAGTGTCTCATACATAGCATTTTTTTGTCTGTGCGAATACTCTTTGCATTTTACCTTCCAAAGGCATGGATTTTCTCCGTATAGGGTATAGATTAATGCAATTTGTGAGGAACTCTCTCGACATTATCCGTAGGTCCAACATATTTTAACTCAATAATTTAAATTGATACTACCCACTAATTTTAATATGTGTACAACGAATTTTACTGCTCGTTAAAAACAAGAAGACTACATATAAGTTGCAAGAACCGCCAGGCATTACAACTTGCCGCTAGACAAGTCTGGTACTCACGGCGAAAATATCTGACAGGTTTGATTTCACTCAAGCCCAACAATTGTCTGTACAGATTTGATAAGTCTGCCAACTTATCAGCACTAACGCAACGATAAATCGTGCAACTTAAGTTTGAACAAGCAAGTTGATGTGCATGACGAAGCGCCTATCCCGGGGTTAATATCGAATGAAATGTTTCTTCGTCACTATAATTGCTGTTCAACAGTATAAGCGTCTAAAATTTTTGCAGATAACTGTTACACATACACTCTGTATGATATTTATTAAGATAGAATTCCAATAAAAAAATAAGCCAATAAAGTTCTGTTATCGGAACTACTGTAACAATTTACCGCGGCAGGGGCGTGCCTTGAAATTTTCCGCCAATGTCTTTCTACCTCGGGTGCCGAATGCGGTTAATTCCAAGAAAGTAACGCGAGGGTCGTCTTGGAATTCCATCTCAATAAGTACCGTACGGACTGTACCTACTTTGTTTTCATTGCAAGTTTTGAGGTAAGAGCTGGGTAAAGTTACTTTACTTAGGTCTTATATCAGTTTACGGAGCTCTCCCCTCCTTTCCGATCTAGATCAGTAACAACGCACTTTTCGAGCTAAAAAGAGATTGGAAACAGACGTCTTTTAGAATAATAGCACAAAAAAATATTGCGTTAGTAATTAATAAAAAATGTATGCTGGAATATAGCAAATTAACGATGCGCAATGCAATAAAGTATGATAATAATGTATTTTATTGTTTATCTTGAAACTAAATTAATTGCTACGGAGACATTTGTTGTTAATGCACTGGAAAAGTTTTTCCATGCACAGCACGGGAAAAGTGGATTTTCTTTTCGCTAAACAGCCATGGAAACGTATTGTTTTGATTGTGGTATAATGAAAAAAATGTTAATACACATCAGAGATTCTTTAGTTTCAGAGTTTCTGCTGAAGGCGAGAACGATAATGTCTCTCAAAACGTTAAGAAATCGACTTAGCAACTAGTCTGGAAATTGTTCAACCACACTTAGGCCTATTGAAAAACAAAGTTTTCTAAATGTACCTGTGGAGAATAATATTTTAATTGCGAGAATTCGTACCACACAAAAGATTTATTTTCCGAAATCGAGAATTATATGAAATTAATTGTTAATTGACGCAAAACTTTATCCTAAACAAATTCAGTCGCCATTCAGTCGCCGCAACAATATGTTCTGCTTGTATTTCATTGTTTTGAAAATGTAGTAATATTTCTAATATTAAATACGATAGTAAGGACTTCTTCACCTAATAAACTACCTGACGTAAGTTCCTAACTTCTTAAAATAGGTATTTTTTAGAGCGGATGTAAAAAAGTTAAAATCTGCAAACTGTATTTGCAACTGTTATTTTTTATGTTTATTGTGTTTTCCTTCAAAACTTAAATAAATAATTTACCAACATTTGGATGTATCAATCTTTAAAACTTGCAATGTTGCTAATGTCAAATATATTCAAAATTACCATACACTACATACCGTTACCATACACTATTAAATATAACCTGCCACTTTTCGAAAAAATCTATTTTTTTATTTTCTCCCCAGAATATACTATTAATTTTTTTATATATAGACACTATTTTCTAGCCTTCCTACAAAATTATGGAAATTATAAATTATAATAACAATATCCTACAGTCGTCGATTATAACTTTGTTTTAACTGTAATAATTACCCTAATCAGAAAATGAGATTCTTAGAGTGCGAGAAACACCTATAACCATAGACCACCTAGATTGGCTGTATCTAATTCCAATGTACGGGTACCCAGTGAATACAAATTGCGGGGAAGTGGAGTGTGCGAGGTAATCTGACTGCGCATACCTTCGAGCATCTACTACAGGTCCGGATTAAACAATATTTTTACACTTATGACTATATTTATTTTTCAAGTTTGGAATTCAGAAAATAATATATTTTAATGTATTACTTATATTAAATAAACCTACAAAATAATTTAAATATGTTTATTGTCCTTTAAGTAATGTTTGTTAAATATTTGTCTTTTCGTATACAGGGTGTCTCATAATTAGCTGCCAACCCTGAACAGGCCGATTCTATGATCAAAACTAAGTAAAAAAGTTCATATGAACATGGGTCCGGAAATGCTTCCTAAGGACACAGCGATCCATTGAAGAGGGAGGAATGGAAATCATTTTTTTGCAATATCTCTCAATCGCGTTGTGATAAATGAATGAAATTTGGTATAAACAGCTAAATTTTGATGAGCAATTTGATGGACTAATCCATTTATTTTCACAAGGTCCATTGGGGTGGGTACGGGGGGGCCCTTGGTACTTTGCGTGTGTAACTTTTTCATCTTTGACTTTTTAACAAATTGGACAGCAAATTCCGTTTTCCCGAACTGTTTTACGTTAAAAAGGTACTCTTGTTTCAAATCGTTATCTTTAACGGTTTCTGAGAAAATCGCTCTTGAATTAATCCCACTTTGGTCAATTTCATAGTAATTTAAACAAAAAATAATAATAATAATTTTCCTTTCCTCTCTTTTCCATTTAAAGGATTAATTTTTATTTAATTTAATTTTTTATTATTATTTTTTTATTAAAATTAGATTAAATTTAAACAAAAAAATTTTTTTTGTTTAAATTACTATGAAATTGACCAAAGTGGGATTAATTCAAGAGCGATTTTCTCAGAAACCGTTAAAGATAACGATTTGAAACAAGAGTACCTTTTTAACGTAAAACAGTTCGGGAAAACGGAATTTGCTGTCCAATTTGTTAAAAAGTCAAAGATGAAAAAGTTACACACGCAAAGTACCAAGGGCCCCCCCGTACCCACCCCAATGGACCTTGTGGAAATAAATGGATTAGTCCATCAAATTGCTCATCAAAATTTAGCTGTGTATACCAAATTTCATTCATTTATCACAACGCGATTGAGAGATATTGCAAAAAAATGATTTCCATTCCTCCCTCTTCAATGGGTCCCTGTGCCCTTAGGAAGCATTTCCGGACCCATGTTCATATGAACTTTTTTACTTAGTTTTGATCATAGAATCGGCCTGTTCAGGGTTGGCAGCTAATTATGAGACACCCTGTATTTTACTGAAATATACACTTAGACTTCATGAGTTATTTTCACATCAATATACTTTTCACATACAGCCCTTACAAGTTCTATTAAATGAATAGAATTGTTAGGGAAATTGTCAAATTGATCGTGCAAATTTTCAAATATACACAATATATACCACAATTTTATTTTTCTGTAGCTTGGGTGTACTGTTTTTATAGTTATTAAAAAAATGTATTATTTTTTCTGTTTCTTAAATTATCATTTTTCTTTTTTAAACGACGTTTATTTTTTGCGGGTTATCTCTTTTTTTTTGTTTATAGGAAACGAAGGAAAGCCGCCTAACTTCATATTTTAGTTTCTTCTTTCTTGGGGTATCATCACTAAAATTTTTATATAATCTTTTCATTATCCGTGATACTCAAAGTTGACATCGAAGATTAGGTCAGAATCTGATGACTTCGAAGTGGTAGGTTGGCTGGTAGGAGACGTAAAAGAATCTGAAGATTGGGACTGTTCATGTTCATAAAAAAGTATTAGTGAAGATAATTTTTATAAAATTATGTGGTGAGCATTAAAATGTTCACTACGTGTTGGGAGAGTCCTACATGCAAAAAAAATCATTAAAATCGCACAGTCCAGGCAAATGTTACAGGAGTGTTCTAGATCAAACTTGAACAGACTGTGCATATACATATAAAGTATAATTACTTATTATTTCTGGTAGATCTGTTTTTTTTTTAACTTTCACTTATCTGTACTTTATGTCAACATCCTTTGGAAATCTGTAAAAATTCATATATTATATTCGAAAAATCGAAGGGATTATAAAAATCTAGTAATTATTTATTTTGCCATAAAACTCAGATTTTTCTAATCAAATTTTGCCAACCCCCCTTTTCCAGGGTGCTGAACATGAATTTGAAATTAATTTTTTGTTGTTTTTTCGATCGCAAAAACATATGACATTAATTTTCAGCTCCCTCAAAATTACGGGAATTTCAATTTCAAAAAATCGGAGACCTTTACGTAAACTAAATAATTATTAAAAATATTATACGATCATTTATACATTATTTTATTAACAATTTATAATAATACCACGTTTACCATTGTACTATGTATGCGAAAAAATTATAAAGTCAACCCTGGAATACTCTGACCTTAACCAAGAAATGGCGTATATAATGGCTCAAATTTACGCTTATTTTACTTATCTAGAGAAGGAAACTTTTCGGCTCTCTTCACCAATTTGTTCACTTCTATTTATACAATGTCCAATCCCCATGAAAAAATAACTAATTATTGAAATCAAAGCGACACGTACAGCTCAAGTTTCCAAATACGACTGATGCTGGTCTACCGACTAGTCTAGCCAGTCTAGGTGGTCTATGCCTATAACTGATGATTTCAAATATACGAATATCTATTATACCTATTCTATACGTTGCAGATACCACCCATTCTATATAACTGAGTCTAATGAAGGAGGATTTGGACAAAAAACAGAAGACGAACAAAGAAAACAGAAAGTATACGCTGGTGTAGACTATGACCGCGAAGGGTATCCTTATCCAACTGCGGCTGGAAGATACTGCGAATGGGCCCATAAAAGCGTCGATAAATCTATGGAATCGGAAACGTTCAAAGTATTCATGGAAACTTTAAGGCTGGAATGCGATCAAGGTGAACCAGCTTATTTGAATTGGACCGTTCCAATGGAGGCACCAGATTTATTATATTATCAGGTAAGCATATAAAAGCAAATTTACAGAAAAGGAAATGTAACATATATATAAAGGCTGTTAGATATAATACGATGTCAAAACTAGTTTACTATTTCTTTTGAAACCATAAAACGTAGAACAAATGATACTACCGGCGTTTTCAGTGAGTCCAAATACCTACTTAAATAGTATATTCAACATTTTTCTTCTTATTTTGATACATTGATTTTTTAGAAATTTTCATGAGTTTTTCATAAAAAAGTTTAACCAAAAACGTTTTGTCTGTAAAACATTGGTTGAATGATTTCCCGGCTGGTTACCACGTTGTCGATTTACAACTCTTGACGTTTCGAGAGACATATCGCTCTCTTCTTGTTAAACAGTTTCAGAGTAACTGAAGAAGAGAGCGACATGTCTCTCGAAACGTTAAGAGTTGTAAATCGACGACGTGGCAACCAGCCGGGAAATAATTCAACCATTAACGACAGCCAGAAGCAAAACTGAAACATTGAAAAAGTTCACTCATCGTTAATAATTTTTAAATGTTTTTTATTCAAAATCAACTTTTATTTAAACATCTTTTTGTATCTCAAATAGTATATATTATTGTATATTGTATTTTTACCACTTTAATGGATCATTCAGTATGATCTTCCCACTTTTTTCCTCATGGTATGAAAACTCAGACTAGATCCTATTAACATTAAGCCTTCTGGAAAATATTATTTAGTTGTATGTACAACCTGCTTTTCCATTTTCTTAAATTTGTTTCACAATTTTCTGCCAAGTAATAAAATCTAAAAAAAACCAACACTGCCAGCGTTTTCAGGGGTCAAAATACGTGTCTTTCAAAATATTTATACAGGGTATTCTATATGTAACCTGCTACAATTCACAACTAGATTATACTCTCAAAAGTAAGAAAAGATGTTCCAAAAAACATAGGTCTGAAAATGCTACGTAAAGGATTGACTTTTATTCAATATCTCCGAAATTTATAGAAATAAATAAATGTAACTTTAAAAATCTACAAACTATTTTATTTTCAATAATTTAATTTGAAAGTAGGTTAAAACTGATGAAGGGGTAATCCAAACTATGGGGTAGTTTTATCGCAAAATTAAAAAGGTGCACTTGTTGGACTTTGTACCTTTTCGAGTAAAATCGATCTTGCAATTATCGCCTCTCGTATATTGAAGAGTCACCAAATCGGGTGTCCAGTTAGCCAGCCAAACTTTAACTACATTACAATAACATTAAAACAAAATAAGTATTACAATTCTAATACATTTAGATCCAAAAATTGTTTAAGCATCCTTAAACATTGCACCTTGTATTTATTTTAAATATTCTGATTTTCAGCTAAGTTCATGAAATAGCTTTTAAATTTGAGAATATATATTCTAAATTTTATTTAATAAACCTTTTTTATATTTTGGATTAAGAAAAATCTATAAAAAAAATTACTAATTTGTTTTTAATGAACTTTGAAGGCACGGAGATGTGACATATTTCAAATATTTTTAGTATCACCTGGCGCATTCGGCAGATTATACAAAATGTTTTTGTTTTACCTTGTACTTTTTGTAGAAGATGAATCCAGATAACCTATTATTGAATGAATTCACTATTGGATTAATGGATACTCAATAGTGTTTTATGAATTTTTAATAACAGAAAATAATTTTCTAAAACTTGATAATTAACCTACTATTGATTTCTAGATAGAAAGGCAAAGGAGATAAGGGAGTGTTACGCGAATGTTGCGAATACCTCTGAATGCCTAACGATTTAGTTAGAATATGGCAAGAAGAAAAGAATATTTTTATATATCTGCTATTCTACTTATATCCTGATAAATATGTCCCGGATTTCATTACTTAAATTCCACATGAAACATAAAGCAGGGGTTGTAAAGCCGCTAATGATTTACAAACTATGGCTAGTGTGAGATACCTACATATTTATTGATAAAAGGCTGTAAGGATCAGAGAAATTATGTAGGAGTTTCCTTATTTTTATAAGAAGTTATGAACGTAGGCGCTCCTCCTACTTATATTGTGACAATATACACTGAAATTAAAAATTCTTAAATCGATTTTAGTCTGAACATGTCTTAAAATAGACTATTTCTGACAAAATGTTTACAGCGAAGGCTTTCAAATATATTTTGTATTGCCATTTGGTGCTACAGAAAAAAAAATTAATTACCTATGTAAAATATAATAACAAATACAATAAAAAGAGATATATGTTTATTTGTTTTAATAATAATTTTAATATGAACTTACATATTATGCCCGTTTGTACACATTGTATAGATCAAAGTGGAACGACTGAGTTAAATACCTTAATCAAAGGTTGTTCTATTTGCCCAGTAAACACAGATACGTTAGAAAGACGTTTATAACGTCCAAATACGTGTCGATTTTACGTACAATCAATTTATAAATGTCGCGATTTTATTTTAAGATAACGAAAGAATAAACGCTCAGTTTTAGTATTAATATCCTTTAACTTTTACGTTTCAAAATAAGATTGCATTAAGATCTTTAGTAAACGCAATTTAAATCTGGAAAAGAAGATTTAAANGACAAATGTTGCAAGAGTTTTTGTTTTTGTATTAGTTATTTGTATTGTATAATATAAACCAAAGCGATATGCGCCACCCAAGCTAACCTAAAAAAAATTAAATTCTCAAAATTTTAAATGCAACCACTAAACAGTATCGAAGGTCTCTATTAAGGAGAACTTGTTTACTTCTTTTCACTAAAAGCTTTGGGCTTCTTTGCTTTATTCCCCTCAGGTTTTTTTCATTAAAAAAGATATCAGTTTCGAAAATTTACTATTATGAATATTCTTCTTGGGTTTGTTTGGGCCTTGAATACAGTCTACATACACTTTATGACTTAAGCATGTTTGATATTTCAGCTAAATAAGCTAATAACTCATCTTCATCTACTTTTTCTTTTCGCACCATTCTTCGAAAAATGTACCTATGCTTTTTGGTGCCTTTTCCTGAATTTTGTTGCTAATAATTCATCGCTGGCAACAGCAGGTTGTTCTTTAAAGCCCGGGACAGACGCTCCGTTATACACACCAACTTACTTGCACAAACCTAAATTGTCCAGCAAGACTAAATCGTCATTTGACCACTAACTTTTAGTTGCATCAATTTGCGTTCAGTTATAAAAATCAATATGGCTAATGAGCTTTTATTGTGTGCGACTGTTTTTGCCGTTGTAGCAAGAAAAAGGAAAATAAATAAGAAAAAACGTTCCAAGACCATAGACTTGGCTTATACACATCTTCTGCTTCTATACCAGAGTGCAATTTTCTAGTTTTCGTAAACTCTTTTCTTCGAAAGTAAGTGCGCGATGAATTCATTACTTTTATTACCGCGTATTTATTGGCTGAGAGATCTTTTAACTTTTCTATTAGTGTCTCATACATAGCATTTTTTTGTCTGTGCGAATACTCTTTGCATTTTACCTTCCAAAGGCATGGATTTTCTCTGTATAGGGTATAGATTAATGCAATTTGTGAGGAACTCTCTCGACATTATCCGTAGGTCCAACATATTTTAACTCAATAATTTAAATTGATACTACCCACTAATTTTAATATGTGTACAACGAATTTTACTGCTCGTTAAAAACAAGAAGACTACATATAAGTTGCAAGAACCGCCAGGCATTACAACTTGCCGCTAGACAAGTCTGGTACTCACGGCGAAAATATCTGACAGGTTTGATTTCACTCAAGCCCAACAATTGTCTGTACAGATTTGATAAGTCTGCCAACTTATCAGCACTATCGCAACGATAAATCGTGCAACTTAAGTTTGAACAAGCAAGTTGATGTGCATGACGAAGCGCCTATCCCGGGGTTAATATCGAATGAAATGTTTCTTCGTCACTATAATTGCTGTTCAACAGTATAAGCGTCTAAAATTTTTGCAGATAACTGTTACACATACACTCTGTATGATATTTATTAAGATAGAATTCCAATAAAAAAATAAGCCAATAAAGTTCTGTTATCGGAACTACTGTAACAATTTACCGCGGCAGGGGCGTGCCTTGAAATTTTCCGCCAATGTCTTTCTACCTCGGGTGCCGAATGCGGTTAATTCCAAGAAAGTAACGCGAGGGTCGTCTTGGAATTCCATCTCAATAAGTACCGTACGGACTGTACCTACTTTGTTTTCATTGCAAGTTTTGAGGTAAGAGCTGGGTAAAGTTACTTTCCTTAGGTCTTATATCAGTTTACGGAGCTCTCCCCTCCTTTCCGATCTAGATCAGTAACAACGCACTTTTCGAGCTAAAAAGAGATTGGAAACAGACGTCTTTTAGAATAATAGCACAAAAAAATATTGCGTTAGTAATTAATAAAAAATGTATGCTGGAATATAGCAAATTAACGATGCGCAATGCAATAAAGTATGATAATAATGTATTTTATTGTTTATCTTGAAACTAAATTAATTGCTACGGAGACATTTGTTGTTAATGCACTGGAAAAGTTTTTCCATGCACAGCACGGGAAAAGTGGATTTTCTTTTCGCTAAACAGCCATGGAAACGTATTGTTTTTATTGTGGTATAATGAAAAAAATGTTAATACACATCAGAGATTCTTTAGTTTCAGAGTTTCTGCTGAAGGCGAGAACGATAATGTCTCTCAAAACGTTAAGAAATCGACTTAGCAACTAGTCTGGAAATTGTTCAACCAGACTTAGGCCTATTGAAAAACAAAGTTTTCTAAATGTACATGTGGAGAATAATATTTTAATTGCGAGAATTCGTACCACACAATAGATTTATTTTCCGAAATCGAGAATTATATGAAATTAATTGTTAATTGACGCAAAACTTTATCCTAAACAAATTCAGTCGCCATTCAGTCGCAGCAACAATATGTTCTGCTTGTATTTCATTGTTTTGAAAATGTAGTAATATTTCTAATATTAAATACGATAGTAAGGACTTCTTCACCTAATAAACTACCTGACGTAAGTTC